GATATCCACACTAACAGTGTGTCAGGGAAAGCCAAGAGACGCTGTCCAAATCCCTCCCAAACCATTCTATTATCCTTGTGTTTTCCTAATGCAGCTAATCGGCTGTGAAACATGGAAATTGCTACTAATTACGACATATCTGAATATTAATGCAGACTTTTTTGGCATTTTGGAGCTGCATGCTGGTAAAGAAAACTGTGTGAAGAGTTTTGAAAAAGTAAACTCAGTACAGAGAAATCTGTGTTACCAATTACAAAAAGCTATCAGGCAGACGCCAGAAAAAATGTTGACATTGTATGTTTCTGCACAGCACGGGATACGTTGAATGTCGCCGTTTCTGCACCAAAAATACGTTTCATAAATGTGTTTCATATCAGCCTCGTAGCACACTTGCAGAAACGTACAATGCCACTTGGTTAACGATGTGAAACATTTGACTGGGTTCAGGAAAGAAAACTACTTGGTTATGGATAGAAAAAACATTGTGCTTTGTGTTGAAATAATAACTCACTAATACCAAAGTCAATACGTACTATTTGTCTCACACTGGACACGAACAATGGTCTCCTGTATGAAAGTCCTGTGTTTGTTTGAGCTGTGCACCGCCCCTCCAAGCAGCGCTTAGTGGACTTGCTTGCTCGATATACTCATTATCACACCACGTAACTTTAATGACAGTCGCTTTATGTACTTCGTCACTTGCTCTGCGTGTCGCTCGCTGTAATACATCGCTTGCTCAGCCTGAATTCCAATCCACTTTCAATGTGGTTTGCAGAAACAAACATTGACGACATATTTTCCCTGGTGACATGGCTGTTGGCGCTCTAGTTTAAAACTGGCTGCTAAAGGCTTTGAGCGATCCTCCTGGCCTCAGCAAGCCTTGAGAGGACAGAAAAAAGTATTCCTCTGAATGAAATAAAGATGGTGAAGGCAGCACGGGGCCAACAACATGTCAGTCTGAAGAGAAGAGAGAGAGACGGACAGAGATTATGTCAACAACTAGTGGACCAATGGAGCGCACTGTGAAACGAGAGGCCGATAGAATAAGCCTGAATATAAATCTACATGTTTCAAATCACAGACTCGAAAAGTGCACAGAGAGGACAGGAAAAAAGGAGAGAGGAGGAGAGGAAGCTTGTTAGCATGATGGATCTCTCTCACTAACAAACTCTGACTGACGTTAAAAGGCTGTACCCAATTACTGGATGGTATCCCAGCCCGCACACACACACACACACACACACACACACACACACACACACACACAC